TCATACTCGGAGAAATCAAGGTAACCGATTTTTCTTGTATAGTCTCCACTGGATTCAAATGCAAGTTCATCACCAGGTCCATCTCCGAATCGCTGATCATAAAAATGTGAAATATAAGTGATTAGACACTACACATGAAAATGATCCATGTGCTTTTTCAACTTTTTTTTGATAGTTTTCGTAACATCTAAATCAATATTGGATATCGATGGGTTTTACGTGTAACTGAATGATAGAGCTCGAGTAGTGAGATAATTATTAGAGACTATGCTTATTTTAAGCAAATGAAGTAGATTGTTGTAGATTAAGCAAACACATAATCATAAAAGAAACGGTTTTGCTAAAGCATCGCTCACTTAGATATAAAAGAAGAACCATACGTATACTTATTTAATTTGATTTATTAGTTACGTGTGTGTTGGGAGTATGTATTGAAACCTATTTTTTCTTAAGTTGTGGGGGTTCTATGTTAAAAAGTCAATTTTGTTAAGAGAAGTAGCTCAAATCCTTATAAGTTGACCTACATTTTTCATCTTTATTTGATGTACAATTTTATCCTTTAACATGCTCCACAAGATTATGGCTCATTTGATGAAATAAATTTTGAAATCAGTGTGCTCATTATTTTTGAGTTTTAATCGGATCAAATGGTTTGTTAGAGTTTAATAGGCTCTGATATCATATTAAGATTTGAGATTCTATCTTGAAAGGTCAATCTTGTTATGAGGATAATCCAAATCCTTATAAATTAGTTTATGTTTTTCATTTTTATTTGATATGAGATTTTATCCATTGATATTTTCGACAACGAAGATAAAAGAAACCATAAATGGGTACCTGCCAATTCCAGAGGCCTGAATGAGCCCTAAAGTGCAAGGAAAATTGAAGACTATATTATAGAAGAATCGCAGTTAAAAAGGGTCAGAGAATGTAAAATGAACCTTCTTTCTCAAGAACCATATTTCACTGTGATTGGCTTCTTAACATTAGGTGTTTTTCCTTCAGCCTCAGCCTGAGCTCTTTTTAATGGTCTCCCTTTCTTTTGAGCTCTATCCTCAGGCCTGTACTTGATAAGCATCTTGAATAATCTCGTTGCTGAATATTGAAAAGCAAAAAAAAAAAATTATCATCATCAACAAAAAGCTTCACAATGGTACAAGAACAATTTAATTTATTTAAGTCAAACAACAATAAGTTTAACGAAAAGACAATTGAAAGAGGCCCCTAATAATAAGGGCAGATCATTGTTGGATCACCAATTTCAAAACCACAAAACCCAACTACAAGGTAGATGTTACATTAATGGCCTAGATTGGCTCCACTATTATTATGATATAAATATCACTTTGTCTAAATGATATAAAAGATGTTTGGTTACAAGCACGATGATAAATACAGATTACTGAATAAGCAATAATATATCCAAGATCAACAGGGATCAATATAAAATCTAATTTTCCAGACATGTCAAATCCTAAAAACAATCTGCTTTAATCTTATACACACAACGAAGAGTATGGATTTTATAAACTATAACAAAGATAGAATCCTTTTGAGCACTCAATTGAGAGTTATAACATGCATTAGCATAATAACCAGACTTGGTTCCATTAATAGCATCATTGTACCATGGTAGATTTTCAATTGAATTCGGCATTATATGAGCTGGATATGTTATCTCAAGAATGAAAAATGATACAAAGAACCAAAGGAACACTTTGTGAAAGTAAAACAAGACATTATTTCTAACAGGTCTGAAAAACTCACCAGCATCTTCTCTCAATCATAAAAATAACACACCCAGCTTCCTACATTTGTCAACAGCATCATCAATCATAAAAATTACCAAGTTTACATTTATCAAACAAGAATAGCACTCAGCATCTCATAAACAATTAGCAAATACATCCGTACATGAAAAAAAGAACACAGAAAAATACAGAGAAGAGGGTGTCAAAACCAACCCATGTTCTTGTAGAGGGTTTTCGAGAATTGGTGAATTGCTTCAAAATCATCTTCTAGCGCTGAGTCCTCACCACTTGCGGCCATTTCACAAATCGG